AAAAATCCATGTACTCTCTATTTGTTATTGACTTCAACAACGGACTCCAATAACTGAAAATTAAAAAGAAGGAATATTTTTTTAGAATGGTTTGGATGACTTGGTAACAGGTAATTTAAAATTTACAAAAGAATTAATCAGATTTAATCTTTATAATTAAATGAACTCCAGTTAAAAAATTATAAAATTTTGCGCTACAAAATTAGCCTATGTCCCATTAGTTTAGCCTCCTCAATACATAACTAAATCCAGATGTGTCATTTTAGTTAAATCAGAAGTTAATGTATTTGGAACTATTTCCATTAATTATTGTTTGAAAACTAATGCAGTATATCTGTATATGCAAGAACGGTGTGTGTTAGAAAGGGCACCCATCATATACCTTTGTGACTATTCTCTTTTGAATGGCAACAAATTTTTCATGGCACTGACCCCAACTATATTAAGCCACAAAGGTATGTTATGCTACTACACATGTTTGGACCTGCTCATTTTACTCCCTCTGTCCATTAATTTCTTTCTCACTTTCCTTTTTGGGTCATCCAAAAATTTCCTTCCCGTTTCCTATTTTGGCAACAAAATTTTAATAAATGTCCCATTATACCCCCAATTTTTATCTACATTATTCACGTTATTCAATCACATCAAGGGCAAAACATGGAAAGTCTTTACACTTTTTAACTTTTCTTAATCTCCGTGCCAAGTCAAAACGGAAAAGAAAATTTTGGACGGAGGGAGTAATCATTAACGATTTACACATGGGAAGCATAAACCAGTAGTGAAAGATGAAGTTGAAAAGCAAATGGCGTTACACTAGTGCAGATGTTAGGGGCTGCTTACAAACTATCACTGAAAATCCATGTAAAGATTGGCATAAACCTACGATCAAATATGAGAATTTGAGGGAAAAAGAACCTCGGGCCAAACAGAATTCTTTCAAGTTCACGTAACTCAGAATCTGTGGCAAGTTCAAGCACAACATGAAGCTGTGGATCAAGTGTATTCCCAGTGCTAATGGCACTACCCCCTGCAAAAGCATCGAAACGGATGCTTTAGAACGAATCTAATAGCCTATAACTTGCAGTAACCCAAGCATAAAATCTGGGAAAATGAATTTATATACTTTGCATACACTTAGGTGATCACCTCTAAATGCATAAAATCTCGAGCTACACTGGTGGTGATTCCACTTCAGAGGCTGCTGCATATCACATGGGCCAAATATCGAGAAATAATTGAGGTGAGCTAAGGCCTAGGGGTACAGATGGTACCCTGTGTGTTTGTGATACATTTGGTTTACAAGTTGGAGTACAAACTTGGTATACCTCTAGATTTTTCCAAAAATAAAAATAGGGTCATGCTAGGTGACCACTTTGGTGTACACCACTTGTAGACCTCTGTGTGTCTGTAACACAATGATGTACAAGTGGTGCACACATAAAAATTTTACATAAAAATAATGATATTAAACGAATGTATACAACATTTAGGTTGAACATTTGAATGAAACCAAATTCTAGCATCCTCTCGACCTCTCCTTTTTTTCCTCGGGACAATTGAGATCATGTGGTACTGGTTTATCCATTCTTTTTTCACGCCGAGATTTTGAGTGTGAGAGGTTAAGTTCAAAGCTAGCTGCGGTTGCAGCACATGTGTAGATATGCAATTCGATGAACGAAAGGCCGCAAATAGATACACACACAGTGGGAGTTACATACCGGAGACTGGAAAGGTCGATTTTGAAGAGGCGTGAAATGAATTTGCCGGCGGTAATAGAATGCTGACGCCTTTTGGAACTGCAAGTGGCAATCGAATGCCAGCGCCATTGTGGTGGTGGCGGTCATGGTGGTAGAAGAGTAGTCGCGGCCCCCGCAGTGGCAAGCTCACATATACCTAGGGTGTAAACTAACATAAAAGCGAATACCGATATATTTGAATTTGTATTTGTTTAATTTTTTCAAATACGAATCCGAATCCGAATATGAGACGAATTCAAAATAAGATTTAAATAAGTATTTGATTAATATTCGAATAGTTATCGAATCATAAACGAATATTTGAATAATCATACTATGTAATTTATATGATGGACCAACATCAATTTGTAATTTAACTTACGATACTCTTTATACTATACTATATTCCGTATATAAAAACATTAATACATTTGCATCTTACACAAATTATATTTTATAAAATATAACTATTAAAAATTATATGCTTTAGATTTTCGTGTGACGTTAATTTATTGAATTCTTAGTATTTTAAATACACTTTATACTATATTACTTTGCTTGACTTTTGATGATCTGTGTATATATAAATATATTCGAATATTCGAATATCATCCTAATCGAATTTATCCCTATTTGTATTTGTATTTGATTAATAATCGAATCAAAAATAATATTTGAATTTGAATTTTTATTTGAATAACGCGAATTCGAATCATCATATTCGAATACAAATCGCGAATCGAATTTAAAATATTTGATTTGTTTACATTCCTACATATACCTTCCCAAATGCCTGATTTGTAGAATGTTTAATTTATTTTTTAAATAGGACACTGTTAAATCTACCTATATCCATTTCTTTATACTATTAAGGACCATGCTACACTTACACCAAAAAATGTATCACACTTGTACACCACAGTTTTGCACAAACATTTTTATGATTTACACCGACACAAGTGTTGGTGCGTTAACAAAAATTTACACGGACACAAATGTTGGTGCGTTTACAAAAATTAGTTTTACACCAACACAAAATGTTGGTGCAAACCTGCGGGGTACAAATTGAGGTATAAATGTTGGGGTACACATAGCTTAATCCACACTATTAAATAGACAATTTTGTTCTTAAATAGTGAGTTGTATCCTCATTTTAAATAGTGAGTTATATCCTCAGATTATTACTCCCTCGGTCCCATAATATTTGTCCACTTTCATTTTTACACACCATCCAATACAGTTCTTGAATCCATTTTATCTTATAATTTGTATATTAAAAAATTATAGAAATTATATATTATTAATCTATATGTTAAGACAAATCAAACAAGATCACACATGACTATATTTAGGCTTACACATTGAGAGAATTTGATGAGTCAAAGTGCTTAGATGAACAGTTCCAAAAGTCAAAACTGGACGAATACTCTGGGACGGAGGGAGTATTTTTTTTAAAAAAAAATTTAAGTGTAAAATTGACTATTTATTACTCTGTTCGTCCTAATTCCAATCACTTATTTCAGTTTAAGATGTTTGATCGGAGTTATTTTCAAATTATTTTCTATGAACATTGTGTACATATAAAAAAAATAAAAATTGCATATTTAAAAACTATACCAAGAGACCTACAAAAGTAGTAGTGATATGACTATATTATTTTACCAAATAACTAACAAAAATAGGGAAACAAGCTAAATGAATTTTGACTCCCTGAATATTAAACAAACAATTTAATTTGAGATAGATAATGTATAAATAAAGTAAATTTTAAAAAAAGTTGTGAATATAGCAACACCCTTTTAAATATGTATCCGGAGTATATTATATGTTATTTGTACATGGGTACATGAAAAATTATTCTTTTTTGAGGATGGTGCACTATTAGCATTCACGCTCGAGTTTGTTGAATGACAATGAATTTGTCATATCCCTTATTCTAAGGAGTGAAAAGGAATACTTGAGTTCTGATTTTTCATGCCAAGCAGTGATTGTTCATGCCAACAAGGGGTATCGATTATGTTATTGAAAAACATTAACCAACTATCTGGATTATGTAATGGTAGAAGGTTAATCGTTGAAAAGCTGGAAAAGAACATTATCAGTGCAATTGAGGTTCTGGGAAATCAAGTTGGAAAAAAGATCAACATACCCTTAATAATTTTGGTATCATCTCATTCATGATTACCTTGAAAAATCTAGAGAAGATAATTGTTAATATCTTATGTTTTGCTATGACTATTAACAGAAATCAAGCTCAAACATTGTCTTTTGCTCTATTATTTTTAACTAATTCGGTATTTACTCATGGTCAACTTTATGTTACTGTTTCACGAGTGAAGAGAAAGACATGACTATAAATATTGGTATTAGATGACAATAGAAATTCTTACAACCATACAAAAAATGTTGTGTGCCCTGAAGTGTTTCAAAAAATTTGAAATTAAAAAATATTTTTTCGAGTACGCTTTCAATTCACCAAATATTATTTATTTTACTTTGTCGTTATTTTCCATTTATTAAAAATCGCATTAGAAATATATTTACTTGATTCTGAAAAATATATTATATTGAAAAAAATTCAAAATCGATAAAAAATTTGTTCAACCTCGTGCATCGCACATGTCAAAATACTAGTTTTATCATGAGTAAATAAATAAGCAAATAATTTCAATAAAGATGTTTTCTTTTTTTCATAGATCTTTGTATTGCACACTACGAGATTTGACAACATCTATTTCAATTTAATTTATTTGATAATAAGTAAAAATATAAAATAAAAATTAATCTACATATATTAAAAAAATAATACAAAAAAATTTACAAAATGAGAAATGATAAAACTATACTCTCTATAATTTTATGAAATGAATACTAGAAATAAAAAATTGTACCCGCAATCTTTTTTTGTCCTCTGCATCAAATTTAACCAAACATTTTTTTTCTTTTTTAAGTCGGAAATCTTGGAGTAGGTAATTGTTGGTGGAGTATATATACATAAATTTTACTAGTGAAATTTGCAGTGAATATGACTAAAACATAAGTCATTTTCTAATATAGAACTTAAGCTTTTTTATTCCCTAAATAGGATTTAACAATGACTAGTGAGAAGAATAATATCCAAGTGATACTGACTATTTAGTTGAATAATGACTAATACGGAGTAGATAATGACCAATAGTTGTGAGAAATAAAAACATATAGTCCTAAGAAATTAAATTAGTTGTTTACTATTTATTTTACTATTTACTATTCAGAACACGAGATTCGCGGGGTTTGTTGTTTTCTCTCCCGTCCCCGAAGACGGACGGAAGAAGCTGCTAAACTGATGGGGCTGGCGGACACCGGAGGCAAGGAAATCGGAGGCCTCAGATCAACGGCATAAATGGATCAAAAACACTGCGAATTCCCGCCTAAAACAAAATTCATCGCCGATTAGTATTCGACTGCAGCTATGTTAGGTTAGTTTCCTTCTTCAGTTCAGTTTCTAGCTTTTCAACGCTCTGATCAAATAATAATGCTTGCGCGTATTGTCTGAACTTTGATTTGATTGTTCAATTTTTGTTTTCTTTTTCGTGCAGATATGTTTTATAACTTGATTAATGTAAACAATTTGCATTTTCATTCATGCTGTTTTGTTATGGAAAAACATTAGTATAAATTTGGAGGAGATATGGATAAAACTAATAGCCTGCAAAGAAGTGTTTCTGGAGGGGTTCAAAATGTTCTCGAGTATCTTAAGCGGATGAAATCCGAAAGTCCAGCATTCTTTTATGCTACTCAAGGAGATATTGAACACTGTAATGGAAATTTATTTTGGGCTGATGGAAATGCTCGGATGAACTACAGCGACTTTGGTGATACAGTGAAGTTGGATACATCTTATAGGAAGAATGGATTTCGGGTTCCGTTTGCTACATTTACTGGCTTAAATCATCATGCTCAACCTGTTCTCTTTGGATGTGCCTTGCTTTTTGACGAATCGAAAACATCATTTATCTGGCTTCTCCAGACTTGGCTTCAGGCAATGTCGTCTCGTATCCCGCTCTCCATAACTACTGAGGCTGATCGTCACATACAGATGGCTGTGTCTCAAGTTCTTCCAAATGCATGCCATCGTCTCTGTAGACAGAGCATAATTAGAGAGACCAAACAGAATTTGTCTCATGTATACCAGAGGCATCCCTCTTTTGAAATTGAATTTAACCGGTGCATCCATGAAGTGGACACGGCTGATGAATTTGAATCACAGTGGAGATCACTTGTGTCAAGATATTACCTCATGGACAATGAATGGCTTCATTCGATGTACAATGCTCGTCATCGTTGGGTTCCTGTCTACTTGCGTGACCCATTTTTTGGGGAGTTCTTTGCTGGCGAGGAGGATGGTGATGAAAATGCTATGAACTCTTTCTTTGATGGATTTTTGAATGCTTCCACTACCATTGATATGTTGACTAAAGTGTGTGAAAAAGGTATTGCTAGCTGGCGTGAAAAGGAACTCAAGGCAGATTTTGACACTAAGAATAACACTCCAATCCTAAAGACACCATCTCCGATGGAAAAACAGGCAGCTGATCTTTATACTAGGAGGGTTTTCTTGAAATTCCAAGCAGAATTGGTAGAGAGCCTTGCTAACCTTGCTACTAAGATAGATTGTTCTGGAGATACCACGATTTATCGTGTTGCCAAATTTGGTGAAGAGCGCAAAGCACACATCGTAAAGTTTAATGGCGTAGAGATGAGAGCGAATTGTAGCTGTCTATTGTTTGAATTTTCAGGCATTCTTTGTAGGCATGTATTATCAGTTTTCAGAGCAAAAAATGTTCTATCACTTCCTTCCCAATACATCTCGAAACGTTGGACGCGGGATGCAAGGAGTAGCGGTGAGGTCCTCCCAGACGAACATCCCATGGAATTGCCAAACAGTTCTCAAGATTCTTTCAATGTGCGTTATAGTAATTTACGTCAAGAAGCAATGAAATTTGTAGAAGAAGGTGCAAAATCTATTCATGTTTATAATGTTGCAATAAATGCTTTAAAAGAGGCCGCAAAAAGAGTTTCAACTTCAAAGAAGCAATGGATTGAGGAAGCTCGGTCGACCAATTTAGCAAATGGAAATCCTGATGAGCAAGCAAGAGCTGAAAATCAAGCAGCGGATTCACTGGTGTGATTTCTTTTTCATTCCTTCATTCATTTCCAGCATGTCACTATATAATATTTCATTTTTAGCAAATGAAATTGCAAATTTGCATCCATATAAGAGCTGTTTATCTTCTATATTTAAACGGTTCCTTAACTAATACCGGAGTAGTCTATTACAGAGTAAACTCTTCAGTAAAATTATCATTGATGTTATGAACTTGAGCACTTCTAAGAAGCCATTATTTTTTTTGTCTTCGCATGGCATTCTTAGGTGTCACTACTTACTCATACTAATCATCGAACACCTGATCCCAATACCATATTCAAACAATTAGATCCACTCAAGACTCAACACAAACCACAAATGAGTGCCAAATGCCAAAAATAAAATACCTTCGTATACTGTTTGCATGAGCTTAGTATAAAATTCTGCCGGGTTTTGGAACTATAATATTAATATCGCCATCCTTTTCTTTAAAGGTCACTGGTCACATGTTTTAGTTAAGGGCTTAGTCGTAAAATTGTGAAAACCAGCCTTACAAAATGATACATAGTGCAATCATCAATTGCTTATGTACCTTGGAGGATCTGTTAAGTTTCTTGAATCCTTTTCATGAAATTATGTACCATCTTGTTGAAGTACATTTTTATTTTTCTGCTTGACTGCTTCCTACTCATTAATATAGTACTCCGTAACAACTAACATGGAAATTCGTATAGGGCTGTGTGCTTAATCTCTCTCTCTCACTCACTCACTCTCACAAGTGTATAGGCTTGATTTAGTACATATGCTAGTGTAATGGTGTTGTTGTTATGTTGTAAATTTATAGTGTTAATAGTTAACTAATTTTGGACAAATAATTAATCATTATTGTAACTTTGACACCACCTACCACAACTAGTTGGTGAATGGTGACGATGATGATTATGCATCTATGTTTGAAAAATATATGTTTATCATGCATTAATTCATGGTTTCATTTTGGCAGCTGAGTGAGAAGCAAAGGAAAATCCACGAGTTGACAACTGAGTTAGAGAGCATAAATGGGCGATGTGAAGTATACCGCTCAAATCTGCTTGCTGTTCTGAAAGATATGGACGATCAGAAGTTAAAGCTGTCAGTTAAAGTCCAAAATGCTCGGCTTAACTTAAAAGAGTAAGTTCATGTTTTTTGATTCTTTCCTTTATTTTTAAGCATATGAAAGCTAATATTGTGTGCAACTGTAGAAAGGTTTTAATATATCTCTTTGCCTCAAAATTCTTGTTCTAATTTCCTTTAACTAGGAGGTTGACGTGACTATTCTGTTTCTGAGATATTTCATTTAAGTGTTTTAGGAATTTATTGACAAACAAGTGGACCATATTTTTAGTTGACTTGTTTTGAGTTAGTTCCTTGGTTGTATGGATTTCATATTTTATTTCTGTTGCCTTTTGTTTTATAAATATCCCAGCTTATTTATGCCCAGGACATTCATAGACAAACATATTTTTTATTTTTAACTAGATATTCTCTATTGTTGGCTTGTAGAGACAATTTTATAGAAATCCTCTGTTAACAGTGTTAAGTAGTTTTTAGTAGAATTATCTTATTATTTTCTGGGTTTTCCCTATCTGATTTTTCAAATTGGGAACATAGAACTTTCACTTTCATTCTCATGGCTACCTGTCTCTGTTTCAGATGACCTGGTATTGTTATCTGTATCCAGTGTTCCCAGGACACATCATTCCTCTCTAGAACGAACAAAATGTGGTAGATTTTTCCTATTTCTTTGCTACGCGCAGTGGTGTTCTTATTCAGAAGCACTACATTAGAATGCCATTGGTAAGGCTAAGTTAAATAAAGCAGTTTGGATGGAGGATTATATTCTAAAGACAATTATTTATACTCTGATTACTCTCCAAGTTTCCAACTGCTAAGGGCATTCAGGATGAGGACCTCAAACATTTCTAATGACATTGACTTTAGGGTGAGAATGTGATTTTGTGCAATATGCTGGAATTCACTTCACGACTGAACTGGTTTATTTATATTTCAACCTCACACCAGTCCAAGCAGTTATGAGCGGTCACGTCTAAATGTGTTGAATGGTTTTGATTTCCAACTTATCCTTAAGCCATCGGCATTTTCACCTCTACTGAATATGAACAAGAGCGTCATCACTGATCATTGGTGGATCTACAGCTTGGGGGGTGGGGGGGGGAGGGGGTCATTGGTTCTTGTGCCATTTCCGACTCGTTGTTGTCAATTCAGCTGAGCTATTGACCAGTTGCTGTGGGGGAAATTATATTTTGGATCTGCCAATGCCGCTTAAAACTTTCAGGTATATCATTTAAGAGTGGGGTTCTTTTGATACCATCATGGGTGTCATGATATGACACCCGGCCCATTTTTAGGGTCATACGGAACTTCATTCCACTCCGAAGCGGTTCCTACCCAGTTAACCCTCCTCACGAATCCTAGCCCCCCCCCCCCCCTGTTTTGTTGTTATGCTACAATAAGTATACATGGGGTTGGGGGCGGGTTAGGCAGGCAGGAACCACTTAGGGGTGGAATGGAGTACCGTACTACCGTAGGGCCCTGAAATGGTCCGGTGTCACATGTCCTTGTGTAAAAAAACCCACTCATTATTTACTTTGAACGCTTTTGCTATTTCTTCCTAGCTTTTGCCAACTTCTCGTCGACATGATTCTCGGGTTCATAAAATTCTCCGGTTCTCTTCAGCTTTGCATTATCGACCGAATCTATCCATTGCTCTTTGCCGGGCAGTCTCCGTTTCACCACTTTTCACTGGATTTCACTTCAGATGCCAGCGTGGAATCGTCCGATGCATTACAATTTGTACTACATTGCCATTCCCGAGCTCTCAGCAACAAACAAGGCAGAGGTCATAGTAACAGTCGTCCGAAGCCAGACTCTTTGAAAATCGTGAGTACTCATGTGTTGCAGTTTGATTCTTCCTTCATAGGCCTTTCTACATATATAGTCAATTGCAATGTAGGAGATTGGAAAAAAAACTCAATATAACTGTGAAGTATGAACTTCTTCACTTTCTATTTTCAAGTATGGGTAAGGTCTGTGTATCCACTCCACTCTCCCCTGACCTTGTTGTCGTGTGAGATTTTGCCAGGTTTGTTCTTGTTATTGTAATCTTTGTGACGAGTTTTAATGACAAAAGAATATTCTAACTCATAACTAGGAGGGTATGAAATTGTGTTACATGTAATAATCTATGGGACTATACTTCATCTTTTCTTATTTTGGATTATTGTTTTTTCACAAGACTCACAATGTTTAAAGTTCATCCAGTTCAGTCACGCTACCACCTCATCAACTTTTATACAATGCCTTGCAAGGCATGGGCAATTTGCCATGCTTGGCATTCCAAGCGCGAGTCACGCTTCTCTTTTTTTTTTTCTTTTTTGGGGTTTTTTCATAAAATACAAGATTTTTTTAAAAAAAAGTAGAAAGATTTTTTTAAAAAGAAAAGTAAAATAATTTTAATAATTAAAATATGTTAAAAAATGTAAAAACTGATAAAATCAATGACTTGTCATTGCATGACATGTCACTCCACTCACTTGTCACACGCAATTAGATTATTTTTTATTGGTTTTAGGGATATATGTTAGGGGTACACCAAAGGTGTACCCCAAATGTACACCACTTGCCTCTACACCATTCATTTTATTTTCTTTTTATTTTTTACTTTTTTTTGAAATTTTCTTGCATTTTTTGTGTGCCTTTTTTGAAATTTTCTTGGTTTTAATATACCACGGCAATGTATGACATTCCATTTTTATACTTGCCATTGTTCATTCTCTAAAAGAAAGTTGGAATCACGACATCACCCACTAATCCACTATGACGAATGTACTTTATCCCTCAAAATACTTCCTGTAATGGTTTACAAATTTCGATTGTAGTTATTTTACATTAATACTTTCTCCGTCCTATGTTAGATGTCACACTTCGAACAATGTATAAACGCACATTATTTTTAAAATTATTTTAATTATAAATTAGTATAGAATTTTAAAGTACTGAGTATAAATTATACTATTTAAAAATACATAAAAAGTTTTATAAAAGAAGAGGTGACAAAGTATTTTATTTAATCAAATTATCAATAAAAATATATGAACAAATATAAATTATCGAGATGTCGTAATAGTGACAGTTATATTCATTTTGGGACGGAGGGAGTATTATTTAAAGATTAGTGTAATTACAAATATGGTAAATTTATATTTATATATTTGAAATTTTAGAAAAAAACTATATTTCATCTGTCCTAAAATAATTTACATTGTTACTTTTACAGTTTTTCAATAACTTTTGTAAAACTTATGATGTATTCCCTCCATTTAAAAATTATCTTCATGTTTACTATTCGCGAGGTCAAACTTTCTTTACTTTGTTGGCCTATTTGATAAACTAATATAGTCATGTCACTTATAGTTTTGTAAATCTTTTGATATAATTTTTAAAAATATAATTTTTTTAAATTCTACACCATTTTTCATACTGTATAAAATGATCTGAAAATAAATTCAGTCAAACATCGTAACGCGCAACGAGAAGATAATTTTTGGACAGGAGGAGTAGTTTTTTATATATAAATTATAATTTTTATACCAATTTATAAATATAATTAATCTAAAAAATATAAAATCGTACACATAGTTCAAATAATGGAATATAAAAGGTAACACAATTATATAGAGTAATACTCCGTAATTAACTAGATGATTAAATATTTAGATTTTTTAGAAACAACATTTTCAATTAACGTAAACGTTTTAAATAAAATTTTAATAATATAAATTAATTTTAAAAAAATTACACAAACAACTATCGCTAGATAACTTCATGAAAATGCCAAATAGGGCCAAAGATGGTACACTCTCAGTTTTGTGAGAGAAATTGTTTTGACCAAGAAATTGTAGCATGTGAATGATGTGGTGGATGACCAGAAATTGACAAAACCGGAGGCGGGAGATCACCGCCTATGGTTTTTTTATTATTATAATTAATCCTTAAATTAGAATGAGAAGCACACTTTGATGATGTGAAAGACGCATATCATTGTCCTCATATATATTCAGACCCCGAAGAGAAGGTGCAGTAATGATGAATTGGTGATCATTGATTCATTCATTCTTCTCCTCTCCTCATCCTCCCAGTCGTCGTCGCCGGCGCCGCCATAGCCGCCGCGTCAGGTCAGTGCTCCACCTAACATTCCTCGCGCTTAATTTCGATGTCTTTCAGTACTTGTTCAAGTCAGAAAGTCACACCAGATCAGATCATCTCACTCACTCACTATCATCTCCCCGTCTGTTCGGAGTATTTTACTAGATCTGATTGTGTTTATCATCGTGACCTAACACTAACACCATTTATTTTCTGTGTTTATTTGCTCTAAGCTTCCCCCCTATGACTATGACTGTTTAAATTCATGATTACTATTAAGGAATATCTTTAAATTGATGTTTACTTTGTTGTGTATTGCTACTGTTTTTCTCTATTCCGGTCAAAATGTTTTACTCTATGGTGATTTTGATTTTTTTTTTTTTTTAAAACGAAAAGTCTTGCAGCACGCTTTAAACGTTAATTTCTACAATCTTTTGAATTTTCCAGCATAATTTTTTAAATAAATTGGGCGATGTTATAGGCTTATAGCTGTCAATTTGCTGAGCTGTGTTTGGTTAATGGGCAATGCATGCCGCGGATTTTTAGGAGGGAAGCAGGTTCTGAGATACGCCCATCCCCAAGATCATTCCAGCTCCAAACATAACCCTTCTTCCGGCCAAACCAATTCACCAGGCAATCAAACGTCAGATACCACCCGACCCGACCCGAAAGAAGACCAGCAGCTCTCTTCTAGCATCAATCCTAGAAAGGAAAGCATCATGAGTCACAGTGTTTTAGATCACAAGACTGCCAACATTTGTGACTTCTACATGTTGGGACGTCGACTAGGGCAAGGTCAATTTGGTACCACTTTTCTCTGCACCGAAATTTCTACCGGTAAGGAGTACGCCTGCAAGTCTATTTCAAAGAGGAAGTTGATTTCGAGTGAAGATGTTGATGATGTTAGGAGGGAAATTCAGATAATGTATCATTTGGCTGGTCACAAGAACATTGTTAGCATAAAGGGTGCTTATGAGGACCCTTTGTATGTTCATATTGTTATGGAACTATGTGGCGGGGGTGAATTGTTTGATCGTATCATTGAACGGGGCCACTACAGTGAGAGAAAAGCTGCTGAGTTGACTAAGATAATCGTGGGAGTCGTTGAGGCATGCCACTCACTTGGGGTTATGCATCGTGATCTCAAACCAGAAAACTTCTTATTGGTTAACAAGGATGATGATTTCTCACTGAAAGCCATTGATTTTGGACTTTCTGTTTTCTTCAAGCCAGGTTCTTTATATATCATTTGTTTACGTTTTGATTAGATATTGTCTCCTTAATTATGTGGTTGGTTGAAATTTTATTGGCATCTAATGACTTCAAGCATCATAAGAGAATCATGGAATGTTGCTAGTGGTGTCTGTTTGATGGATTTGTAATGATTGATTAATTACCATTCCAAACCTCTTCTTTTGTTACTGAAAACGTAATTTTCAGAGAAGCATCATTGTCCCTCTTAATTGCAATGGTGTTTCTTTAGTCTTTCTCATGTCATTGCTTTGTTGTCATTGCAAGCTTCCTCTTCTATATCAGAATCAATACCTAAAATTTGTTTAGCGGTTAATGGTGTGCTCTTCTTGAACGTTTCAGGCCAAATTTTCACAGATGTTGTTGGAAGTCCATATTATGTTGCTCCTGAGGTGCTTATGAAGAGCTATGGTCCGGAAGCAGATGTTTGGACAGCAGGGGTCATATTGTATATACTTTTGAGTGGTGTGCCACCCTTTTGGGCCGGTATGTATGATAAACATATTAGTATGCAGAATAGTAGTTTCAATTCTCTGTTTTCTGTTTTTTCTAGGCGTCCTAGCTAATACTGCATATCTTCTTCAGAAACACAGCAAGGGATATTTGATGCTGTTTTGAAAGGTGACGTCGATTTTGAATCAGACCCTTGGCCCATAATTTCAGACAGTGCAAAGGATCTAATCCAAAAGATGTTGTGCATGCGTCCTTCTGAGCGCTTAACTGCCCATGAAGTATTATGTATGTTTTTCTATGTCTGATTACTTCACTTTTTGCTTAATTACATCAGTGAAATATATTTTAATGCATTTTCTTTCATAATTTAGCTACTTTACGTCTTTACCAATATCATCCACAATTTTAGCAATTTAAAAAATTTCACCAAATTTGTGCTTACTTAACAGGCTTTAAGTGTCACTTTATGGAGTTATAGGTGGCTATTTTTGTTAGCCTTAATATGGATAATGATTTTTTTGTTGTAGTCATTGCCAAACGAGTTTTATATACTATGTAGGCCACCCTTGGATTTGTGAAAATGGTGTTGCTCCAGATAGGGCATTAGATCCAGCTGTACTTTCTCGCCTTAAACAGTTCTCAGCTATGAACAAGTTGAAGAAGATGGCCTTACGTGTATGTATAAAAAACTTATTAAATGCTTCCCCATTTTGAAATGGCATCACAACCATCATGGGCTTCAAATAATTATGTACTGCATTTTTTTTGTTTTGTTTCATGAGGGTTGTATGGTCATATAGTGGTTATAATGCAAAATACTGATTGCATTTTCATGTTTGTTCTTCTAGGTGATTGCGGAAAGCCTATCAGAAGAGGAAATTGCCGGTTTAACTGAGATGTTCAAGTCCATGGACACCGACAATAGTGGTGCAATAACATTTGATGAGCTTAAAGCCGGTTTAAGAAAATACGGGTCGACTTTAAAGGATACAGAGATACAAGAACTAATGGATGCGGTAAGCCAAGTATATGTAATTATACATATCTTCGATATTTGTCTTACATTTTGTGGCATGTTGCTCCATTTAGAGGTTCAAGGTCTGAAATCTTGGTTAAAGGATACCAAGCTGTTTCCTCTTAGACCACATGATATGGGTAGGAATGTGAATAAGTGAATTATTTAGGGTCTGTTGGGATGTAGGGTTTTGAAGGGGTTTTGAGGGGAAGGTTTTGGAGGGCTAACTCTAAATCTTGATGTATATATATTTGAGAACATATACTAATTGAAAGACGAATGTAATATATGATTGTATAACATTTCAATCACCTCTGATTTGTTTTTAGAAA